GTATTGTACAAAGCGTTTACACATTTGTTGCCATTTATAGTACCATATTTGGAGTATCAGGAAAAAAAATCAATTTTTTTTTTTAATTCACAGCGCACGCTAGGTCGCGCTTAATGGCGCAATCTTGTTTAATCTTGTTTTTGAATAAGCTTGGTTGTATAAAGTTAAATTCGATTAAATTCTTCTGTTTCGTTGCCATTCAATAGTCTAGAAAACTTATCTTGGATACACTTAATGAGTTCTCTTTTTTCGGTTAATTTACAGCGTTCAGGTGGAAATTCAAGTAACTTACCGCGAAACCGAAAATGTTGTTGCGTGTGAAGAACCACGAGCCGCTAGGCGAGTGGATCTACAACAAACTTTGACAATATTATGACGCAAATTTGTGGTATGATTCTCGCCTTATCAAGATTGCAGCGCTGAATCAGTGCTGATATGTTTGACAAAACTTTCGCTGATTTCGTCAGCTTTCAAATTTCATCCGTCTGTACTCTTATTGACAATAAAAATTAGCCAATTAGCGGGCGAGAAATCGCTCAGTAATTGTAAAAAAAGTATTCGCGTACAAACTCTTCGTGTTTCCAAATATGGTATTTGGCAAAACTGAATATTCCAACACTGTGAGCGCGCGTTACACGTTTCAATCCCTTATGTGCTTTTGTCTCTTGCAAATGACGTTAACTTATTGCGTTCGACGACAGGAGAAGGCAACCTTAATCTTGTGTAGCTAAGAAAAATCGAGATTTTGTGTGTTCTGCATTTGCCTCGCTTTCGTTTGGACGCAAATTTGCCTCGCTTTTGTTATTGGCGTGATACCTTACATGGATTTCCATCATGCCACCATTGTCGACAGGGTGAGGGATTACCACAAGAGACTCCTCCTTGAGGCTTGGCTCTATAGGGGAGACTCAACGTGGTCAATTTCATAATATGGGCGTTGGTCTGACAAACTTCTAATTTATACTTCATTTGTAAAGTTTTTCTAAACCAGTTGCTGAAGAAGTGTACCCTACTGCACATAACCAGGATAGAAGGGTAAGGAGTAATGCTTAAGTTTTAGAATATAAGCAGGAAGAAAAAATGTATTTAGTATAGCAACATATGATAAAGTCATTCATTGGTGTAAGGCTTCCGAGTTCTACGCTCGCCCTCCTTAACTTTTTGGCCTTCATTTCAGCGAAAGAACCAAAAAGGCATTGGCGACAGTTCTCGCATGAACGCAGAGCAAAGCAAAACACACGGAGAAAAGGAAAGAAATGCAGGACTACTAGACAAAGTAAAGGTACGACTCAACATCCTGAATATCTGGGTTACTGTTTAGTAGAGCAATAAATAAACGTTGATGCGAAAGATCTCCACAGTACCAAATACCAATGGAGATCTTAGTGACATTTCTTCTTAGTGACATTTCTTCCCTTCTTTCCAGCAAACCGAACAGCGTCCCCGTACGGATGAAGAGAGCGTAAAAAAGCACCGTCAGAAAACTGCACGCGGAGAAAAGGTACGTTTAAACACTAAGATCGTCTTGAGTATTCATCAACTTTGACATCAGATGGTTCGCGGAATTAACTATGCACATAGTGCAATGGTCGTTGTATAGCGCCTGTAGGCTTGTTTAATCGAGTATGGCCGTAAAATTATTAAAAAACACCGTCCGCCCCACGCCCCACATTACTTTTCATCAAAGCATTTCTTCCCTTCTTTCCAGCAAACCGAACAGCGTCCCCGTACGGATGAAGAGAGCGTAAAAAAGCACCATCAGAAAACTGCACGCGGCGAAAAGGTACGTTTAAACACTAAGATCGTCTTGAGTATTCATCAACTTTGACATCAGATGGGTCGCGGAATTGACTATGCACATAGTGCAATGTTCGTTGTATAGCGCCTGCATGCTTGTTTAATCGAGTATGGCCGTAAAATTATTAAAACACACCATCCGCCCCACGCCCCACGCC